ACAAGCTACCACAAGCCGCAGTTTTGAAGCAAATTATGTAAAGGAGTTCAAGTTTGGGTAAGAAGCAAGGCTATGATCATGGCAAAATAACTGTTTTCCCATTGACGTACCAAAATGGCATTTTGCGAAGAAGTTGTTTTCCATTCCATCTTGAGAAGAAGAAAATATTGTGAATATTAATTGGTGTTTTTTGTTTCACCATGCATCACCATCACCATTTCTTTTGTTTCTTCACTCCAAGTGTTTTTTTCTGGTTTTTTTGGTCCTTTCTAGTTTGTTAACTAATTCTAACACCAACCTAATAGCATACAAGTCGTTGTAGTATAGTGGTGAGTATTCCCGCCTGTCACGCGGGTGACCCGGGTTCGATCCCCGGCAACGGCGCCTACCCCCTTTTTGTTTTTAAAATAAAAACAAAAACCTAGGAACACATTTGTAAGAAAAAAAAAGTTGAAGTTTTCTTTCCAGAACTGGTGCTTTGTTGTACCCTCATTTAGATCTTCCTTTCATTTATGCAATGGTTGATCTAAGCAAATTCAAGCCATATGCAATGGACTCTGAATGCTCTGTGAAAGCGATTTCATCATATCACTCAAGAACAACTGGCTTCTACAGATAAAAAGAATCAAATAAAAACAGTTTACACGAAGAAAGTAGAACCAACAACAAACATTAAGTTAAGTAATTGATTTAACCAAGTTCATGCCTATTTCAATTCTTTGAAGATTCTAAATGTCAAAATAATCAAAAGTTTTAAATATATGGTCGTAGCATTGGTGGTTAATGATTGTAGCAGTAAACTGAAGAGCAACTCACAAGACGCATTGGCTTATCATCAGCATGGAAATGAAAGGTGATGCCAATGATTTCCTATAACCTTTTGGGAGAGAGAAATTCAAAAGAACAACCGAACTGAACTACGCATTTGTCTCCCGGAAACAGCCTCTCTACCCCTAAGGTCTGCGTACACTCAACCCTCCCCAAACCCAACTAGTGGGATTCTACTGGGTTGTTGTTGTTGTAAGTTGTAACCGAACTACTGAAGTGCCCTTTGAGCAGCTAACTTACCGGTTCAACATTGTCATATATTTCAAACAACAAATTTGCAGAAAGAAATAAGTATCAGTTTCCGTGTCAAGAACTTTTGGAATAACACATCTATAAATCTGCTAACCCAATTCAAATGCAAAGATCCCAGTGAAAGAGCCGAAACCAGAACAGAGAGAAGTTAAATCATTGCCCATCAGGTTAAAGACACGAGACTTTCTATAGTAATCCTGACTTGGAAAATACAACATCAACTAAATGACCAGTTAAAATACACTCATAGTGTCAGCATATATAAGTTAAATCAGGCAATGTTTCAAATTATATCCTAGAAACGTGTAGAAGCTGAATTATTCATAACTTCAAGATAAATTTCTTTTGGACACATTAAGTGAGAAAAATGGATGTTGTATATGTATTCTTTGAATTAGTCTTTGCGAGTCAAAAAACACCAACCTTTGTGGTGCTATACCTCATTGAGATCCTAACTAATCTACTATACAAGGCGGATCTCCGATATACAAAATTGTGAGGCCTAAAAAAAGAAAAAGAAAAATGATCTCAACTATATTCTTAAATCCTAAACTGAGAAGTGATGCCAATGAAGATGCCCTCTGAGTAGGGAATGGTGACACCGCCCATAGGATGATAAAAGCCAAATTCTTCCTCGGCTTGACTAAGCAAATCTTGAAATGAAGGCTGGCTCAAGTATGATATGGGAATTACAAATCTCTTCCTCTGCTTCTCCCCAACATAAACAACAAAATAGCCCTTGGGAACATCAAGGGATGTTGAGGACTTCTTCATTATACGAGGAACACGGATAGCCATGGATTTTTATTTAAGATGAGCAAAGGATTAAAAGAAGAAATACTAAAATTCTGAAAGCTTTGAGTAGTTTTCTAGTTTTGTGGAGAGCTGTGGTGGTGTGAAACTTTTCAAAACATGTTTATATAAGCAAATGGAAAGTCATAAAATCTCATGATTTTGTGGTGAAGAGCCATTTGGGTTGAGCATCAGTGAAAGACAATGACATACCAATAACCACATGGTCCTGCCTTCCAACTAATTGACATGATTAATTACTTTAGCTCGTATAAGTTCAGGAACAATATGTCCTACCATTTTCTTATGCATGGAACAAAGGATCTCATAGAATCAATTGCATAAGAATGGGTGGTCCCTTATGATGATTTGTGTCTGGAACACTATCCATTAGGACTAAAACATACCCCATATACAAATTTAGTGTCCATCTACGTCAGTACTATAAGAGAAAACAAGTCAATTATATCTCAAATTTCAGTGGTGAAGAGGCATTTGTTGCGTTGTTGATTGACAATAGCAGATGAAGTATCACATGGTTTTGTTTACCAACTCATTATCAAAGTATTTATGATTTTAGGCTATTGTGCCTGAAGATCAGTAGGCCTGACTGTTTTTATGACATGATAGAAAACACGGGATCTTTAGAAATCAAATTGATAACAAAGTATTCATATCTTGAGTCCATCTAAGATCAAGACATCAGGCCCTACCTTTTGTCTGAAGTTGGAACATAGCATGCCTCACAACCAAATTGCTAAAGAAAGATGTATCCTAGAGTGATTATTCATGTCTAAATATAAACCTATACATTTCTTGTCATTAAGATGGTTTTGTAGTAAGAATTTATTCAAATAAAATGGAATATCCATCATTAGAACCAATAGAACAAAGGAAAGTGGGATGTTCCAGCTTTCCAGGTGCTGTCTTGCTTGGTCCTGAACTTAATCCAAAATATTTGGCTACTCTTATATCATCTATTAAGAATGTCACAAATTTGTATATGGATAAATACAAATTAATCATGTGCCAGGAACCAGATTTGAACTGGTGACACGAGGATTTTCAGTCCTCTGCTCTACCAACTGAGCTATCCCGGCAAGGACTCTTTCCTAAGATTATAACAACCAAAACACCTGATCTGAGGAATGCTAAAAAGAACCAACATCTGATGTACATGTCATGTACTGACATACAAATTTGATTAATCTGGGAATTCAATTATGTGTAGGCTTTGGGCAACAAACTTATATAGCAAGATTTTAAAAATGAAAGAGGATAAAGGGGAACTTTAGCTCCTGAATTTTGGGTGATTTCATCATAGTTTGCTCAATCTTTCTCTACTCTCTTAGCTAATATGTTAGATTATTATTTATCTTTATATTTTCTTTCTTTATTATGGCTAGCTAAGCTTCTTAAGCTAGGATTGTGAACCCCAAGTGTGGTTATGTTTTTGGGTTATTAATATTAGTTCCATATTTGATTAAACTTTGTGTTATCTAATTACTCCATGCATTATTGATTGATTTTGTGGTTGCAAGCACTAAATCCATACTTAATTTGCTTGTTCTAACTTGGAAGAGTGGAACTTAGCTTAGGTACAAGATAATTCGTAAGGAATTAATTGGACGTCACCACTCCATCTGTCCCATTTTATGTGACACCCGTTCCCTTTTAATCTATCCCAAAAGAATGACATTTTTTTTTATATTTAGAAACAATTCAACTTTAAGCTTCTCATTTTACCCTTAAGGAGATGATTTATAACCGCACAAATATTTGTGGTTTGTTTTAGAACTCAAGTTTCAAAAGCCTTTCTTTCTTTCTTCTTAAACTCCGAGCTAAGTCAAATATTATCACATAAAAGGGGATCCAGGAGTATACAGTACTAGAAGGCAGAGCTGTAAATCAGAAGAGCAACTCACAAGATGCATTGGCTGATAAATGAACATCAGCATGGAAATGAATGGTGATGTCTTTTCCCTTGGTATTGTTTTATATTTTGTTGTCATTTTGTATAAGCTCGGGGAAAAGGAAGTCTGATTCAAAAGGAGAAAACAGAAAAGTTAATAATCTATTGGTCCTGATAATAATAAATCTTTTAGACGGGGAGTTGCCTTAGAAATGGTTTGGCATTGTCAAGAAATTCAGAGCAGTGTTCTTGACAGGAATTTCATCGAACCACACGGCGGCTCTAGGTAAACAATGACTTGGCACGCAAATCAACCAAAACAGAGAACACATACACGCTTAAAACAAACCAGAATATTCATGTAAAAGGGCGTGAATCACTTGGCCCAAAGTCGACATTTTGAACACCCTTTGAATGCACAGAAGAGAAGTGATGGAGAGCAAGAGCATGGAACTTAGTTTGGCAAAAATGGTTTTAGAAAGCAAAGGGATTTTTGGGCTAAGGATCTTGAAGAAGCTGGTTAGGGTCAGTTTTTTCATTTTTAAGTATAACCATGCAACTCACTGGTCCAACTAATCCAGATTTGAGTCGTGAGCTCTATGGTTGCATTTGCAAAGAATAAAAAGACCCACCCATATGGATTTAACTTATATACATAAAACAGGCCGTAAAATTCATTTTAAACTATCAGTGTGTATGTATATATGATGCATCAGTGTATGTAAAGATTTTGAACTACTCATGCTAAAGGTTCTGGAATAATCAGGCCCATCTTTACGGCTTGTTTGGATGGTGTTATTTTTAATACAATATTATTTTGATTGTTACTTAAATTTTATTATATCATATTGTTAAATCCGTCATTACGTAATGTAACAACCGATTTGCTGTGCTCGCATCATTACCTTGTTTTTTCTCTCATATTGCCCTTCCTTATTATTAAATAATCCTATTTTATCCCTTACCTTATCTTTTTATATAATAATTCTACTCTGTACTTTACTTTTTCTTTGTAATATTGCAAGTTTATTCTTGATGAATAGTATAATGTTTGGATAGATAAGCTAAATTGTTCATCCATTCAAGAAAAATTTCTTTCGGATACATTTGTAGCAAGAGAAAAGAATTAATGTTGTATTTGTACTCTTTGAATTAGTCTTTGCGAGTAAAAAACACCAAACTTTTTGGTGCTAAGCCTCACTTAACTTCTAATAACTAATCATCAACTGTACAAAATGGATATCCTGCTTTGTATACAAAAATTATGAGACCTATAAAAAGAAAAATGATTCTCAATTATGTTCTTATATCCTAAACTGAGAAGTGATGCCAATGAAGATGTCCTCTGTGCAGGGAATTGTGACACCACCCATTGGATGATCGAAGCCAAATTCTTCCTCTGCTTGACATAGCAAGTCTTGAAATGCCGGTTGACTCAAGAATGATACGGGGATTACAAATCTCTTCTTTTGCTTCTCCCCAACATAAACAGCAAAATGGCCCTTTGGAACATCTGTTGAGGACTTCTTGATTATACGAGGAACACGGATGGCCATGATTTTTTATTTAAGATGAGCAAACGATGAAGAGGAGAAATACTAAAGTTCTGAAAGCTTTGAGTAGTTCTCTATTTTTGTGGAGAGCTGTGGTGGTGAGAGACTTGTCAAAACATGTTTATATAAGCAAATGGAAAGTCATAAAATCTCATGATTTTGTGGTGAAGAGCCATTTGGGTTGGGCATCAGTTAAAGACAATGACATACCAATAACCATATGATCCTGCCTTCCAACTAATTAACAAGATTAATTACTTTAGCTCATATAAGCTCAAGAACAATAGGTCCTACCATTTTCTTTTACAGGGAACAAAGGATCTAATAGAATCAAATGCATAAGAATGGGTGGTCCCTTATGCTGATTTGTGTCGAAAACACCATCCATTAGGACTAATACATACTCCATATACAAACTTTGCGTCCATCTACGTCAGTACTATAAGAGAAACAAGCCAATCAGACTTAAAATTTCACTGGTGAAGAGGCATTTGTTGCGCTGTTGATTGACAATAGCAGATGAAGTATCACATGGTTTTGTTTACCAACTCATTATCAAGTATTTATGATTTTACGCTATTGTGCCTGAAGATCAGTAGGCCTGACTGTTTTTATGACATGATAGAAAACACGGGATCTTTAGAAATCAAATTGATAACAACGGGTGATTGTCCTGTAATTATTCAGGTCCGGACCACTTGTTCTGCGATTAGAAATAATTTACTGCAATATCTGATTGGTCCCTCAAGCTAAGGTCATTATGTAGGATCAACTTTCCTGCTTAGGATTACCGGAGTTATTTCAGAAAATTTTCCAAACGGTAAAGGGCAGAAATGTTTTCTCATTATTAACCTGTCCCCATGTCTATAGTTTCCGAATTTCCATTATGAGTACAGATGTTATATCATATAGTTAATTAAGTTGCATCTGTTTCAATCAGTAGCGGAAATGTTGAAGATCTTGAATCGAATAAGAACAAAGAAAACCGACCAACAAGTTCAGATCTGCATCTGCGGTATGGCCATTGGACGCAAAAGCTTAAATAGAGCAGCTCTTGAACCAATGATTATGTATTGACCACCCCAGGTGTAGGATCATTTCATTTAAGAAAACAAACTCATCCATTCTGTATTCTTGCCATAAATAGGATTAACAACATAAATCAAACGATAAACTAATTTTGAATACCACATACTCGGTGAGTGTTAACTAGTAAGCAGGGAGCTCTGCTTGAAAGAAAAAGATGTTTTCACGCTCCTAAGCTACACAAGTAATTGGAAAGTCAAATGGTAAACATGGAAGCTCTTATCACATCTTCAAAATATTTTTTCTATTGCTAGAGGTGCACGTACAAAACCAAGAAAGTTGAGCAAGAATATTTATATTGCAACAAAATATTCCATCAATATATGGAATTGATTCGAACCATAGAAGTAAACATGTTCATTACTTCAATTTCTATTGAAGTAGAAAAATGTGTCCTTAGTCATGAGAATAAAGGATTGACATCCATTGAATATGGAGCTAAATTCATTAGTCTACCTAGTCAGAGAGTGCTAACTTCAAATTACTGTTTCTTTTCACTCCTGAACTATACACTCTGGAGATCCTACTTAACAACTTCACAAAATTGTGTAAGCAAAAACTGGTGACTGGTTAATTTCCTTCTCGCTTCCTCAAGCGAGATGTGAGATCAACGAACACATCCTCACTGCAAGGAATTGTGACACCACCCATAGGATGATCAAAGCCAAATTCTTCCTCAGCTTGACTAAGCAAGTCTTGAAATAAAGGTTGACTCAAGAACGATATGGGAATTACAAATCTCTTCTTCTGCTTCTCCCCAACATAAACAGCAAAATGACCCTTCGGAACATCTCCAGCTTTAGAAGACTTTTTTATTATATGAGGCATACGGATAGCCATGGTTGTCAAGTTCAATATAGATGAGCAAATAAGGAACAGAATTAGTAAGGACCCTGAAAGGAGAGAAAAGCTTTCTATGATTTTAAGTTTTGCTGAGTGATGTTATTGTAACCCTTCTTTATATAGGCCAATGACAAGTTATAAAATCCTACCTATGTGCATAGGCATTCTGTGGACACCAGCTAAAGACAATAGCACCTGAAGTGTCACACGGTGGAGAGAATAGCAGATGAAGTATCACATGGTTTTGTTGTCCAACTCATTGTCAAATACATATACCCATTGCTGCCCTACTGTTTTTCATGAAAAGATAGAGAACGCAGGATCTTTAGAAATCAACTTGATAGCGTTGAGTAATTGTCAATACAGGATCTTTTGAGATCAGACTGATAATAACAGGTAATTCTCTTGTTTTGATGCAGGTCTGGACCACTTGGTCCGCAAAATTTACTGCAGTCTGATAACTTATTTGGTCCCTCATGCTATAGGATCAACTTTCCTGATCAGAATTACCCGAGTTATTTCAGCAGATTTTGAGAAATGTTTCACTAATTGTAGAGAAGAGGAAATGTTTACTGGCTATCAACATGTCTGTGTCTATGTTGTGCAGATCTCCACTAAATTATGAGTCACTCATAACCTTATTGACGCGAGAAATTTGAGTAAATATTCAAGAAAAGTATAGATATTATTCTTTCAAGACTAGATTCTAGTTCATTCCGATTAGAAAACCATGAGAGTTGAGAAACAAAATTTCTACTGCAATGAATTGATTACATCAATGTATGGAAATAGAATGGAACCAAGAAAGTAAAAAGGTTCATTACTTCAATTTCTGTTGAAGTAGAAAAATGTGTCCTTAGTCAAGAGACAAAAGAATGGCATTACATTCTTGATGGAGCTAAACTCATTAATCTACCTAGTATTTCTTCTAACTCGTGAACTGTACACAATGAAGATCCTGTTTTACAGTTATACAAAATTGTGTAACCAAAAAGAAAAAGGGGGGCTAATTTCCTTGTCACTTCCTCAAACGAGATGTGAGATCAACGAAAAAGTCCTCACTGCACGGAATTGTGAGACCACCCATTGGATGATCAAATTCAAATTCTTCCTCAGCTTGACTAAGCAAGTCTTGAAAAGTCGGTTGACTCAAGAATGATATGGGAATCACAAATCTTTTCTTTTGCTTCTCCCCGACATAGACAGCAAAGTGGCCCTTGGAAACATCTCCACTTGTCGAAGACTTCTTAATCATACGAAGAATTGCCATGATCTTTTAGTTTTAGTAAAGAAAGAAAGAATTACTAAAGAACTCAAAAGCAGAGAAAGCTTTCAAAACTTTCAAGTTTGCTAAGAGTTGTGGTGGTAGACACCTCTTTGAATATGTTTATATAGGCAATGGAAATTCATAGAACACAGCTGATATGTGTAGAATAAGAATTTGTGGGCACCAGCAGAAGACAATGTCACTGAAAATCACATGCTTTTGTCTTCCAAATATTAATAACTTTGCACTATTAGTTCAAGAACAATAGGCCCAACAAGCATCTTTCACTGAAGAAATCTTTAAGAATAGATGAAGCCTTGAGCTAAAGAGGCCAAGTGCTTCTTAGCTTTGTCCAAACTTAGTGCAAATTAACATTAGGCCTTAATTCATGGACAACAGGCCCTACCTTTTCTTTGAACTTGGAACAAGAGTATCCTTCAAAATCAACTTGCTAAAGAGGAATTGTACCATGTGATTATTTATGTCTAGATACACATCCCCGAAAATTCATAGATGTTAATATGGTTTTGTTATAAGCATTATCCTTGAGGAAATAAAATAATTTTCTATCACCCTAATTTCCAACTTCCAAGTGCTTCTTAGCTTAGGTCCAAAGTATGGGGGTTCTCCAATTTCTTTTCACTTTTCAGTAATCATTATTAGCCTCATTTCTTATAACTAGTATACGTACCCGCGCGATGCGCGGATTGTAAAAACAATATATTAGCATGATAATGTTGCTCTTAATTATTTGCTCATTTGAATTCTATTGAATGTATGGTAAGACAGTAGTAGCTTTCTTGAAATGAGAGATAAATTGTGAAATATTCCAAGAGTTAAAGTGATAAAGACATTCGTAAGTGTACTCTGGCCTGTGAAAATATGCAATACAAATGCAAGAATGCAAAATGAACAGAAAGTAAACAGTAATGTTAGTACTAATTTGTATGCTTCATTCTCATTATGGTTAATTCAGCTAACTGAAAACTAAAAACTTTACTGTATTATTACACGACTGTTGAACTATTCCAATTGTATCCAAAGATGGAGCTAACACTCTCAAGATTGTATATGACTGTGGTTTCTTACATCTCTACTTCAATAGATGTAGAGATGAACGAAGTGACATCAATAGCTGACTATGAGCAAATAAATGCTGCCTTAACTCCAAGCTTGGACGCGAAAGTGAGATAGCAATAGGAAAATATAATAAATATAACTTTCACAACTTCCAACGATTTCAATCCATCAGATTATTGAAATTTTAGATTGTGATGTGATGTTTTTTATTCAAGCAAACTTATCAATTAGTAAAATTTTAGATTGTGATGTGATGTAATGTAATATATAAGTGAATATATATATATATATATATATATATATTCAATCAAATCTCTGTCATATAAAATAAAATTTAAATAGAAGGAGTATCTCTCTTTACTCAAGTTGCCTGATTCCAGACCACTGTTTATTCAAGGGAAATAAAAGAGGTAAACATTATTTTTTCCTCTAAAAAATGTGAAAAATCAAATTGCACCCTCAACTTTAAACTGTATTATCTCCGTCCTATTTTAATACCCTCTAAAGTAACCTGCACTACCTACAGATATAGGCGAATCGAACATGACTTCAAGTCATTTCCCTTCTTTTTCTTTTTGCTTTTTCTAAAAGTTAGTAATTCCGTATATTAAAATAATTCAACATCATTTCAGAAAATATGTGCTGTGTGATATGGGAATGGGCAGACTGACTACACCTTTGGCTCTTTATTTAGACTTGGTGTCTGTACCCTGCGACTCAACATACTTTTAAAATTATGAGCTCAGAATTTGAATATCTACATAGCTGTCTGTTTATAGCCTGTCGAAAGTTGACATGCTATGGATTATTCTACATAGGATTGGAACTCTTTTGTTAATGTTACAAGACTTGATGAAGACTTTGCTTCATAATTATATGACATGCAAATTGATATTCGTGTTCAGACAATAATGCTTTATCAAAATAAAATGCTTGCAAATATCAAACAAGTCGTGTTGTGAGTCAAAAAGCACCAAATTTTGTGGTGCTATGCTAAAGTTAGCTTCTAACTAATCAACACGGATCTTTTGCTTTGATATACAAAATTGTGAGACCTAAAAGAGAAAAATTATGTTCTTAAATCCTAAAGTTGAGAAGTGATGCCAATGAAGATGTCCTCTGAGCAGGGAATTGTGACACCGCCCATAGGATGATTGAAGCCAAATTCTTCCTCTGCTTGACTAAGCAAATCTTCTTGAAATGAATGCTGGCTCAAGTATGATATAGGGTATCACAACTGCTTCTCCCCAACATAAACAACAAATTAAAATGGCCCTTTGGAACATCTGTTGAGGATTATACGAGGAACACGGATAGCCATGATCTTTTCTTTAAGATGAGCAAAGGATGAAGAGAAGAATTCTGAATGCAGGGGAGCGCTTTGAGTAGTTTTCGAATTTTGTGGTGGCTACATGTTTATATAAGGAAATGACTAAGTCATAAAAATCATGATTTTGTGGTGACGAGTCATTTGGGTTGGGAACCAGTGAAATATTAATAACCACATGGTCCTGTCTTCCAACTAATTGACATGCATGATTAAATCGTATAAGTTAGAGAACAACAGGTCCTACATTTTTCCTCATATAGGATTTCTCAGAATCAAATTCATAAGGAATGTATGGCCCTTTATGATGATTTATGTCTAAAGCACTATCCATTACCTCTGTGTCCACTTTTATAACAACTATAAGACAAAACAAGTCAATCATATTTCAAATTTCAGTGGTGAAGAGGCATTTGTTGCACTGTTGATTGTCAAACATTTATGATTTAAGGCCATTGTGACTGAATATCAATAGGCCCACTGATTTCATGAAAATATAGAAAACACAGGATCTTTAGAAATCAAATTGATAACAACAGGTAATTGTCAACACAGGAAAATTGAGAGTTTGAATTCTACAACACTACAGTTAGAAATAAAATTTACTGCAATATCTGACTTGTTTGGTCCCTCGTGCCAAGTCATTGTGTAGGATCAATTTTACAAATTGGAATGGAAATGTTTCCATATAGAAGAGAACAGAAGGCTATTTACATGTCCTTGAGTCTATTTCCATTAAATTATGAGTCACAACCTTGTTATTGCCAGAAATTTGTCTTGAGTACTCAAGAAAAGTACAGGTATCATGTCTTATTATGGGCAATTAACTTACATTCGTTTTAATCAGCAGTGTAAATGTTTAAGATCTTGGGTTAAATAAGATCAGAAAAACTGATCAACGAGCTCAATAAGGTCATTGGACACAAAGGCAGTGGTAGCTTTTATCACATCTTCAAAATAGCTTTTTCTATTAGATTCAGCTGCAGTTAGAAAACCAAGGAACTTGAGCAAGAAAATTCTCAATTGCAATGAATTATTCAATCAATATATTATATTGAATGGAACCATAGAAGTAAAAACTTTCATCACTTCAATTTCTTTTGAAGTAGAAAAATGTCTCCTTAATCAAGAGACAAAGGTATTACATCTCCATTCAACACTAGTCTACCTAGTCAGAGAATAGTAACTTTCCTAATTCTAACTTCAAATTACTGTTTCTTTTTAAGTCCTCAACTGTACACTCTGGAGATCTTACTTTACAGCTTTACAAAATTGAGTAGCAAAATCTGGTTGATTTCATTCTCACTTCCTCAAGCGAGATGTAAGATTAATGAACAAGTCCTCAGTGCAGGGAATTGTCACACCACCCATTGGATGGTCAAAGCCAAATTCTTCTTCAGCTTGACTAAGCAAGTCCTGAAATACAGGTTCACTCAAGAATGATATTGGGATTACGAATCTCTTCTTCTGCTTCTCCCCAACATACACAGCAAAGTGACCCTTGGGAATATCTCCACATGTGGAAGACTTCTTGATCATTCGAGGCATTCGAATAGCCATGATATTTAATATTAATATAAATGACAAAACAAAGAATGACTATGTACCGAAGACTTCAAGAGCAGGGAAAGCTTTGAATACTATCAAGTTTTGCTGAGAGCTGTGGTGGTAGACACCTCTTTGGATATGTTTATATAGGCAACTCATAGAACACAACTGATATGTGTTGAATAGGGATATGTGGGCGGTGGGTGGGAAGCAGCAGAAGACAATGGCATTGTAGTATCACATGCTTTTGCCTTTATGCTTTATATTAGTTCAAGAACAACAGGCCCTACCTTTTTTTTATAAACTTGGAACAAAGCATACTTCATTGTGGAACTTTTAAAATAAGAAATGGAACCTTGAGCTTATTTATGCCTGGACTACTCGGATAAAACATAACCCTGAAAACAGAAAATGTTATCAATTACTGTCAAAAACGACAAATTAATGTTAGGCCTTAGTTCAAGGACAGCAGACCCTACCTTCTCTTTGAAATTGGAACAAAGTATCCCTCACAATAAAATTGCTAAAGAGAATTGTACCGTGTGATTGTTTATGTCTAGATACACATCCCTGAAAATTCCTAAATTTGAAGATGGTTCTGTTTTAAACATAATCCTTGAGAAAATAAATTTTTTATATAACCATAATTTCCAACTAGTAAACTGGTGTCTCAAAAAATGCTCATTTCTTCTTAAACTAGCAAACTTTGAAGTCTTATGATTCCAAACATATCAAACAATGCTGACAGCTTTGCATGTGGACACTGCTAAGTTAGCTTGTATATCAGCCTGCAAGTAGGTCCTTAAGTCAAAAATGTTAATAACTCTTTAGATATGAGACATATGAAACAATATCTTATATCCTGACAGGAAATTCTCAAGTTTTGGTTAAATAAGAATAAAGAAGAAAAAACAGATCAAAATGTGGATCTGCTGTAAGGTTAGTAGACTCAGAAGCTCGCGAATTAGCTGAAGGATGGTTACCTTGAATAAAGAGACTCATCCTTTTATAAGTAAGATTATAAACGTCATACACCTAGCTGTGACTTGAAAATCAGAAATTCATTTGAGCACATTGTTAACTAGTGGTTGGGAATATCTTAGGAAAGAAAAGCTCATTTGCCTTCATAAATTCCCATTGTAAAAGGAAGACTTAGAGCAAGCATGGTGGCGTTTTATCACATTATCTAGTTTTTCTAACTGTAGCTTAGTTCTATGTAAAATTCTAGGTGTATTCATCATTTGACTAACACAGAAAATGACTTATTATGGTCAAGTTTAGGCTATTTAGAGATCTCATGATTCTGGTTTGTAATTGTTAGCAAATCACGGACACACGAGCATATGGAATCTTACAGAGCAAAAGATATCAATGAAAACTGAATGAAACACTTAAGTGATAAAGGTTTAATACTTCAATATCTTTGAAATAGAAAAAGTGAAGAGCCATTCATCTCTTTGACATGAATAACAATCAGGCTTTGTGGAGTTAAGTTCACTAACATTCCTCATTCTAACATTAACTGCAGTGTTCTCTAACTCTTCAACTATACAAACTCTGCAAATCCTGCTTTACTGCTCTACAAAATTGTGAAAACAAGTTTCTGTCTCAGTTCCTCAAACGAGAAGTAAGGTCAATGAAGACGTCCTCTATCACGAACAAAATCCACTAAGGGTCGTGATGGCACCGGACACCACTGTCAGGCAAGCCAACCATAAATACTTAATTAAATTCTCGTTTAAATAATTGTGAAAACTATGATTTTCCTTCAATTTGGCTAGTTAAAGATAATCCTTGCAAAATAAATAAAAGAATGTTTAGAAGTTAATATAGAATAATAATCATCCCAGAACCCAGTGTCACAAGTGCATGAGCAGTTACTAGGAAATAATGTAATACAACAACTGTCCGGAATATAAATTGGACAGAAAAGAAAATACAGTACAATACTCTGAAGGAGACTCTGCTGGCTGCGGGTCGTCTCGAGAGGTGCAGCTCACCTAAGTCTCCGTATCAACCATGCCGCTGTGCCCAACTAGGCCACTAGACATACATGTGCCTGTGCAACAAAAATGCACAGCAAGTGTAGTATGAGTACAAAAACAACGTGTACCCAGTAAGTATCCCGTCTAACCTCGAAAAAGTAGAGATGAGAGGTCGACTTCGACACTTACTAGTGGTCCAATAATAATATATTAATAATGCGAATAATCATGGATTTATAAGAATTTTTCAATTGCAATGAATTATTCAATCAATATATGATATTGAATGGAACCTTAGAAATAAAACATTTCATCGCTTCAATTTCTTTTGAAGTAGAAAAATGTCTTCTTAATCAAGAGACAAAGGTAATACATCTCGATTCTTTATGGAGCTAAATTCATTAGTCTACCTAGTTAGAGAGTGGTACATCTCCTCATTCTAATATCAAATTACTGTTTCTTTTAACTGTACACTCTGGAGATCCTACTTTACAAAATTGAGTAGCAAAATCTGGTGACTGGTTGATTTCCTTCTCACTTCCTCAAGCGAGATGTAAGATTAATGAACGAGTCCTCAGTGCAGGGAATTGTCACACCACCCATTGGATGGTCAAAGCCAAATTCTTCTTTAGCTTGACTAAGCAAGTCTTGAAATACAGGTTGACTCAAGAATGATATAGGGATTACGAATCTCTTCTTCTGCTTCTCCCCGACATACATAACAAAGTGACCCTTGGGAATATCTCCATATGTGGAAGACTTCTTGATCATTCGAGGTATACGAATAGCCATGATTTTTTAGTCTTAGTATATAAATGAGAAAAGAAAGAAAGACTATGTACCAAAGACTTCAAGAGCAGAGAAAGTTTAGAATACTTTCAAGTTTTGCTGAGAGATGTGGTGGCAAACACCTCTTTGAATGTGTTTATATAGGCAATATTGGCAACTCAAAGAACACAGCTGATATGTGTTGAATAGGAATTTGACAATGGCATTGTAGTATCACATGCTTTTGCCTTCAAAGTATAATAAATTTAGGCTCTATATTAGTTCAAGAACAACATGCTCTACCTTCTTTGTCAACTTGAGCAAGGCATCCTTTATGGTGGAATTTTTAAATGAAAAATGGAAGCTTGAGCTTATTTATGCCTGGACCATTCGGATAAAGCATAATCCTGGAAACAGAAAATGTCATCATTTACTGTCAAAAACAACAAATTAACATTAGGCCTTAGCTCAAGGACAACATGCCCTACCTTCTCTTATATCATAACAGGAAATTCTCTCTAGATATGAGACGTATGAAACAATATCTTACATCCTAACAGGAAATTCTCAAGTTTGTTAAATAAGAACAAAGAAGAAAAAACAGATCAAAATGTCGATCTGCTGTAAGGTTATACACTGAAAAGCACGCAAATTAGTTACTCTAGATGAAGGATGGTTAACTTGAATAAAGAGATCATCCTTTTATATGTAAGATTATAAACGTCATACATCTAGCTGTGACTTGAAAATCAGAAATTCATTTGAGCACATTGTTAACTAGTGATTTACAAATATCGTAGAAAAGCAAAGCTCTTTTGCTTTCCTAACTTCACATTTTAATAGGAAGCCGTTGAGAAAGCATGCTAGTGTTTATCACATTATTTATTATTTGACTAACACAGTAAAGGGGCTAATTGTGGTCAAGTTTAGGCTATTTAGACATCATCTGATTCTGGTCCGTAATTGTTAGCAAACCAGGGGACTTGAGTATATGGAATCACAAGTACAAGAAATACCAATGCTAAGTGAATGGAACCATCAAGTGGAAAAAGTTCAGTACTTCATTATCTTTGAAGTAGAAAAAAGTAAAAGAGTCATTCATCTCTTTGACATGAATAACAATCAGGCATTACAGACTTAAGTTCACTAACATTCTCATTCTAACATTAACTACAACCTTCTCTAACTCTTTAACTATACAAACTGTGCCAATCCTGCTTTACTGCTATACAAAATTGTGAAAACAAGTTTCTGTCTCAGTTCCTCAGACGAGAAGTAAGGTCAATAAAGACGTCCTCTCTGCAGGGAATTGTGAGACCGCCCATTGGATGATCAAAACCAAATTCTTCCTCAGCTTGACTAAGCAAGTCTTGAAATAAAGGTTGGTTCAAGAATGATATGGGAATCACAAATCTCTTCTTTTGCTTCTCCCCAACATACACAGCAAAATATCCCTTGGGAACATCTTCAGATGTGGAAGACTTCTTGATCACACGAGGCATACGAATAGCCATGATTCTTTTAGCTTTAGTATAGACGAGGAAAGAAAAACTGAAATGCTAAAGACCTCTAAAGCAGAGAAAGCTTTGAATACTTTTAAGTTTTGCTGAGAGTCGTGGCTGTAGACACCTTCCTGAAAGGTGTTTATATAGGACAATGGCAGCTCATATTATCCTGTTAATCTGTGGTGAAGAGTAATTCTGTGGGTACCAGCTGAAGACAATAGCACCTGAAGTAACATGGTTTTGCCTTTCAACTCATTGCCAAAGTATTGATGGCTCTAGGTCACACTGGTTCAAGACAATAGGACCTACCTTTAACTTGGTGTTCTGGTATGCATTTATTCCTTAAAAATATAGATTTATCCATCACCACATACCAATAGAACAAAAGGAAGTGGGATGTTGCTGCAGGTTCTTCCAAACATGGCCCTGAACTTAATCCAATAAATGTGGCTAATNAACTCATTGCCAAAGTATTGATGGCTCTAGGTCACACTGGTTCAAGACAATAGGACCTACCTTTAACTTGGTGTTCTGGTATGCATTTATTCCTTAAAAATATAGATTTATCCATCACCACATACCAATAGAACAAAAGGAAGTGGGATGGTGCTGCAGGTTCTTCCAAACATGGCCCTGAACTTAATCCAATAAATGTGGCTAATAATCTTAACTCTTGGATAAAATTTATGAGTTGAGGTCTCAGAAATCCTAGACAAAATTATGCTGACAGCTTGGCATGTGGGCACTGTTAACTTGTGTTGCAGCTTGCCAGGAGCTCCTAAAGTAAAAAATGATTCTTTAAGTAGCTCTCTATCTATGAGAATTGGATTAACTATAAACATCTGAACTTGAACCAAAGGAACTATATCTGATATGTCCTGCATACGAAATACTAATCCTATATCGTGACAAAAAGTTCTGAAGTTTTGTCAAATAAGAACAACTAAGACCAGTGTTCGAGCTTGTACATTGATCTAGTGGGCTAAACATTACTCCAGATGAAGGATAAATTACTTGAATAAAGAGACTCATCTTTGTAAATTTGATTAACTATATTTTTCCGGCTATGACTTAACAATCATGAAATGCGTTGAACTTGTCAACATGTTTTAATTAATTGTTTGGGATTTTGTAGGAAGAAATAGCCATATCACCTTCTTCTATACAATTTATTAGGAAGACATAGTCCAAACATGTAACTTTTATCTCCAGTTACATGGACTCATCTGCAGGAACTTTCTGATACGACGTGTGCATAATTATCCAGCAGCAGCATTTTGCTAATTTTAATCGTATTTTGAAGAATCCACTCTAAATACCAATGCATCAAAACGGATGAAGTATCTTTGTAACATGAATTTCTTCACGTCGTTTAGTTTTTCTATTGCATTTAGTTGGTGTTCTTGGTTCCCAAAAGCTGCAGCCCTTGTACATGTTGAGCTGGAGTCGTCAGAGAATGTTAACAGCAGCGTAGTTGCATATAACAGTTCGATTCTATTCATCCTTTGTCTAACATGAAAAAGTACAGATTTCGGCCACTTTAGACTTAATTCTGGCTCATAAATGGTTAACACACGAGGCTTGAGCACAAATATTCTATGCGATGTATTATGGAAACATAAGGAGAGAATATTTCGATACTACAAAATGGAACCATCAATTAAAAAAGGTTCAATACTTCAATTTCTTTGAAGTAGAAAAAAAACAAGTCATTACTGACATGGAGTAACAGTCAGTCTTTTTGGAGCTAAAGTTCACTAATCTACCTAGTCAGATAGTGGCAATTCTCTTCATTCTAGCATCAAAAATTGTGTTCTTTTTACAGAATGTATCCTGCTTTTCTACTCTACAAATTGTGAAAGCAAATTTCTTTATCAGTTCCTTAAACGAGAAGTGAGGTCGATGAAGACATCCTCAGTGCAGGCAATTGTGAGACCACCCATTGGATGATCGAAACCAAATTCTTCCTCAGCTTGACAGAGCAATTCGTGAATAAAGGTTGGCACAAGAATGATATGGGGATCACAAATATTTTCTTCTGCTCTTCCCCAACATATACAACAAAATATCCCTTGGGAACATCTCCAGATGTGGAAGACTTCTTGATCACACGAGGCATACGAATAGCCATGGTTGTTTGGTTCAATATAGCAAAGAACGAAAAGAAAAACTATTAAGACTTCATTTCCAGAAAAAGCTTTGAGTACATTAAAGTTTTGCTGAGAGCTGTGATGGACATAAAAAGCTTTGTCCTCTTTGAATGTGTTTATATAAGCCAACTAGCAACTCAAAGAATCCTGCTGACAGTGAAGAGTTATTTCGTGGGCACCCCCGGAAGCAGTGGCGGAGCCACATTGAACCAAGGGGTGTCAAGCGACACCCCTTCGCCAGAAAATTACACTATATTGCTAGATTATTTTATTTTATTTTATGTATATTTACTATACGTTGACTCCCCTTTATTTTTTGGTGTATCTAATTATTTATATTTTGACACCCCTTGATGAAAATTCTGGCTCCGTCACTGCCCGGAAGACAATAGCATCTGAAGTAACATGGTTTTGCCTTCCAACTAATTGTCAAAGTATTCATATCTTTAGTCTATATTAGATCAAGACATCAGGCCCTACCTTTTGTCTGAAGTTGGAACATAGCATTCATCACAATCTAATTGCCAAATACGAGATGTAACCTAGTTGTGATTAGTCACTTCCAAATATACACCTACTCGTTTCTTGTCACCGACAAGATGGAATAACCATAACAAGTTAAAAACATACCAATAGGACATAGGAAAGTGGGATGTTTCACTTGTTTCTAGCTCGATCATGAACCTAATCCAGAATATTTGGCTACTCTCATAACATCTATTAAAAATATCACAATTCTTAGTGGATTTGATATACAAAAATTCTATTATGAGGTAGACTTTGGAGAAAGAACTTATATGGTACAAAAATCTTTTGTTGAAGTATTTAAAACACATATAGTTATGGGTATGGATTCAATAACATACAAACAAGCAACTTTAGTTACTTCTGGGTAGCCACTATTTTAGGGAACCATGGAGTAAATACAGATGTACCAATTGATACTTTTAAAAATAAGTTGACCAAGATAAATACAAGTTTTGTTTCTGATATCATAAGTCGTCTAATGTGATGCTTTAATTAACTTTGCAGATCAGAATTATCCCAAGTTATTCAGCTGATAGAGAGAACTTCTAATAAATCAAGCCAGATGTTGTTCTAAAAAGAGCAGAGAACGCAAAATGTCTGTCGAGTGTGATATTTTAATGTCATTCTTTCATATTTTCAAACTCATGTTGCAGATATAAAGTTTTATTTATTGTCATTGCCAAAGATAATTCAGTGTTCAGGATAAGGTCACAGATATAAGGTGTCTTCTTCAGAAGCTCCGATTTTCATGTTATGGATAAATGGAGTCATGTAAAATCTCTTTACAAAATTTCATTCAATCGGGTTCTACAGTTGCAGCTAACAGTATCCCCCTCTATCTAATTATCAGTGATATCATATATAAATGATGTGTCTTTTCCTAACTCTTCTAATGTACAAATTGGAGTCCAGGTTAGTTCTTTACAAAACTGTGAAAGGAAAGGCCTCAGATCCTACACAAGCTAGAAGTAAGATCAATGAACACATCCTCGCTACAGGGAATCGTGAGACCACCCATTGGATGATCAAATCCAAATTCTTCCTCAGCTTGGCTAAGCAAGTCTTGAAATGCCGGTTGACTCAAGAATGATAATGGGATCACAAATCTCTTCTTTTGCTTCTCCCCAACATAAACAGCAAAATGACCCTTTGGAACATCTCCAGCGGTAGAAGACTTCTTGATTATACGAGGCATACGGATAGCCATGGTTGTTTAGTTCAAAACAGATGAGCAAATAAGGAAGGGAATAAGTAGTAATGACCCTGAAAGCAGGGAAAAGCTTTTTATAGTTGCAAGTTTTGCTGAGAGCTGTTATGCTAAATCCTTCTTTGTATGTGTTTATATAGGCCAATGACAAGTTATAAAATCCTACCTATGTGCATAGGCATTCTGTGGACACCGGCTAAAGACAATAGCACCTGAAGTATCACATGGTTTTGTCTTCCAACTCATTGTCATACTATTTATACATTGAGACTAGTCTAAAAGCAGAAGGTCCCACTGATGTTCACAACAAAGAACATATGGAAACCTCATCTTCTTGAAAAATGGTATAGTTGGTTCCAAGTGGTGCTGCAGTTGAAGACTTTGAGAGTACTTGCAAAATGGTCAAATTAGGATGATTATTATTGGATGTAATAGAGAATTGGATAAAGATGGAATATTTCTCCAGTTCCATTTATCAATAAGAAGGTTTCTGGTCAAAGAAGAACAAAACCAACCAGTGTCTACTTGTGTTGTGCCACTGCTGAGCATGGGTGGACCTCAGCACTAATTTTGTAGGAAACAACCTAGAGAAGAATGTAGAAGCTTAAGTTTAATCTGATGCGCAATTTATGATAATAGAGTGGTACTATCCACAAGAACGACATTGTACCTTAAATTTGTCAATAAAATCAGTAGACGTGCTGCACCTCGAATTGATTAGATTATATAAATCCAACAAGAAGTTGACTTTGAATAGCACTTTACTAGGAATCTAAATTCCAATAGCATACTTAACATTCTAAGTATTTATGAACAGCCAGAGCTAAGGCCTGTATGGTTCTAGGCAGGGGCGGAGCTCATGGCGAAGCCAGGAATTTCATTTAGGGTGTTCAAACTTGAAATAAGTAAAAAAATGGCCGATAAAGTGTGTTAAATATATGTTATATACCATTAAAATTTAATATTTTACCTATATATACATTGTAATATTTCGACGAAGGGTGATCAGTTGAGCACCCTTAGGGCTATGTACCTTCGCCCCTGGCGGAGCTAGCCTTTGAGTTACGGGTTCAGCCGAACCCTAACTTTGGTCCAAACTTTGTATATGTCTTAAGAAATCAATTAGATATGTACAAATTGTTAATTTAGAACTCAGTTACTTAAAAAGATTAGAATCTCGAACCCATAAGCTTTAAATCGCGGCTCCTCGTCTGGTACTAGGGACAAAGACCTCAAAGTTACAGTAAAACTAAAAGAGTTGGACAGGGGAGAAAACAGCCTCTGAATGCTCAGTGAAAATAATTCATAAGGTACCTCGAGAACAACAAGCTTCTTAGTGGGCACTGGACAGAGGGCCTAATTTATCCTCTGGCTATAATTCCAAATGATAATCTTAGCAACTACACAAATGCGTCAACTCTAACAGTTCACGTGAAGAGTAGAACCAACAAAAAGCAGCAAGCTGAGAAATTGATTTAGGCAAGTACATGACTATTTCAATTCTTTGATGATTTTATAATCAAAACTTCTAAATGTTTGGTACTTTGGTCCTAGCATTGGGCGGTTTATTTGTTATACGGTATCAGAAGACAGAGCTGTAAAACAGAAGAGCAACTCACAAGATGCACGGGCTGGTAATGAATATCAGCATGGATATGAAATCTTCTTCGCCAATGCAAGGCCCCCACTCACATCTAATCTCAGGATAGCTTGACAGGAAGTGTTCTTCACAGGAATTTCATCGAACAACACAGCTTCATTCTTCGTAAACAATTTCTTGGCATAGTAATCAACCAAAGCAGAGGACATATACACACGATTTCCGTAAAAAGGCGTAATTCAATTGACCAAAGTTGATATTTTGAAGACAAGAAGAAGACTTCAGAGATACACAAGGTGTAAGGCACCAAGTGATCACCATCTGAATGCATTAGTAAACCCGTTCTCCTCTGGTAAATTACTCTGACCTAACTAAAGTCTTGGATTAAATTATGATATTGTTTCATAACCTCCTCCACCCGCACCTCCAAAAATTTCAAAAAGCAAAACATCCAAATTTATCCCACAAATCAGGCAATATTTCAAGGAATTTAATTTATACACAGCGCATAGCATAAATATTTTGTGCACTATCAGCGCAGTTTAACATATGATCATAGGCGCATGCAAGAAAAGAAGCGATGTTCATATTTTGATATTTGCCTATAAATACGCATGCCTTTCCTCTATTGTACATCATCCCTCAACTTCTTTTTTTCTCTCCAATTAATAAAGAGTTATTCTTTGTGTGGCCATGGAGTAGGCAAAATTTGCCGAACCACGTAAATCTTATCTTGTCTTGTGTAAACTATTGCTTTTCTTTTTTTAAATATTTTTCCCTTGTATTAGTCTGATACGCTTTCCAACAACTGGTATCAGAGCACAGACACTGTAATTCTGGTAGAAAGTACGATATTGGTGCAGGTACTATTCACAAGAATAGTGTGATACTATTGATTATCAATACGTACTGTCAATAGTGTTAGTATTGTTCACCAATAGTGATTGTTGTCTACCTTATGCGGTTGGGACATTTTTCTTACACGGAGTAGTATGTGCGATTACTATTCACACGCACTATTCACATAAATTTTTTTGTGAAAAATGGCATTGGAAGAAGGGAATGTTAAGATTGGCAAGTTCAATGGCAAAGATTTTGGATTCTGGAAATGCAAATAGAGGATTATTTGTACCAGAAAAATCACACTTGCCTCTAACCGGGGTGAAACCAGAGAATATGGCCAAAGCAGATTGGGATATATTAGATCGCCAAGCTCTTGGTGTGATTCGTATGACGCTAACACGAAATGTAGCCTTTAACATCATTAACGAGAAGACCACTACAGGCTTGATGAATGCGTTATCAAATATGTACGAGAAGCCATCTGTTTCAAATAAAGTCTATTTGATGCGTCGATTGTTCAACATCTTAAAGATGACAGAAGGTGGATTTGTTATGGAACATATCAATGAGTTTAATGTAATATTAACTTAGTTGAGTTCTGTTAATATAATATTTGATGACGAAGTCAGGGTGTTGATTCTACTATTATCTCTACCGGAGAGTTGGTTTGCAACAGTAAGAATCAAGTGATTCTCCAGGATCTGCTTTTAATATCGAAAGTAGAGGTCGAAGCAATCAAAGAGGACAAAGTCATGGTCGTGGCAGATCAAGTCAAGGAGAAAGGGCAATCCAAAAATCACAAAGACATTACTTGTTGGAATTGCGATAAAAAAAGGTCACTACAGTAGTCAGTGTAGAGAACCAAAGAAGAAGGATGAAAATTCAGCAAATGTAATTGCTGAACAAGTCGGTGATGCGCTAATTTGTTGTGCAGACAGTCCAGTCGAATCTTGAAGTTTGGACTCGGGTGCATCCTTTCACTCTACCTCATGCAAAGAATTATTGCATAATTATGTTGCTAGAAAATTTGGGAAGGTTTATCTAGCTGGAAAATCTTTAGATATTGTCGGGAAAGGTGAAGTTCATATAAAGACTTTGCAATGGACGCTATGAAAATTGCAAAATGTCCGACATGTTCCTAGCCTCAAGAAAAATTTGATATCCATGGGTCAAGATTGACAGTGAAGGATATACAACAGTATTCGGCAACGGATCGTGGAAGATAACCAAAGGAAATTTGGTTGTGGCACGAGGCTTCAAGAAAGGAACACTGTATGCAACCGCAATACAGAGAGATACTATAGCAATAATTGATCATGATCGTGATACAACATTGTGGCTCCGGAGGCTCGGGCATATGAGTGAGAAGGTAATGTTGTTGTTGGCATCCAAAGAAAAGTTGTCAAACCTCAAACATGTTGAATTAGGTTTGTGCGAAGATTGCATTTATGGGAAACAAAAGAGAGTTAGTTTCTCAAAGGCGGGAAGGACACCAAAGAAAGAGAAGCTGGGACTAGTGCATACGGATGTGTGGGGACCAACTCCTGTAACTTCTCTGGGAGACTCACGCTATTATGTCAACTTCATTGATGATTTCACGAGAAAGGTATGTGTTTATTTTCTGAAAAAATAAATATGACGTGTTTGTTACTTTTGAAAGATGGAAAGCTGAACTTGAAAATCAGACAAGCCTAAAGTTAAAATGTTTGAAGTCTGACAATGGAGGAGAGTACGATAGTCAAGAGTTCAAACCATTCTGCTATGAGAATGGGATCAGAATGATCAAGACAGTCCCTGGAACACCGGAACAAAATGGCGTTGTAGAAATATTATATAAAAAGGTATGGTAAAAAATAAAATATGATTATTTAATAATATAATATGGAAGGGCAAGATGAGAGAAAAAAAAATAACAGGTTGTTTGGGTTGTTACCTGTTGTTGTATCGTATTGTTACTTTAAATACAATGTTTGTTTTGATTGTTACTAAAATTATATTGTATCGTATCGTTAAATCCGTCGTTACGAAATGATGAAAAGTGCCACTTTATGAAACGGACGATTTGATGTGGTCGCGTCGTTTTCTTATTTTTTTCTCTCATCTTGCCCTCTTTTATTATTAAAAAAAATCGTATTTTATCCTTTACCCTACCTTTTTTTATAATAATATTATACCTTACCTTACTTTTCTTTTGATAATATTCCAAGTTTATTCTTCGTATTGTTGGTGCATAATATCATGAACGACGGGAAACAATACAATCTATCCAAACATTGTATACAATAAGACGATAGAGTACGATACAATACAAAACATTATGAAACGATACATAACAACCATCCAAACAGGCTGTAAGGAAACAATGCAACCACACCAAATCGGTCGTTCCATAAAGTGACACTTTTCGTCGTTACGTAACAACGGATTTAACGATAGATACACTGCTGAACACAGCAAACTCTATCTTATATATTGGCGAAGTGGATAAGCTGAATTTTTCAGCACCGCAAGATAAATTTATTTAGAATGTATTTAGTGAGAGAAAAGAATGTAGTATCTGTATTATTTAAATTAGTCTTTCGAGTCAAAAAGCGCCAATCTTTGTGGTGCTAAGCTTTACATAGCTTCTAATTAACCAACTATACAAGATGGATATCCTACTTTGATGTACAAAATTGTGAGATTTAAAAAGGAAAAATGATCTCAACCAATAAACTTAAATCCTAAACTGGGAAGTTATGCCAATGAAGATGTCCTCTGTGCAGGGAATTGTGACACCACCCATTGGATGATCAAAGCCAAATTCTTCTTCAGCTTGACTAAGCAAGTCTTGAAATGAAGGTTGGCTCAAGAATGATAACGGAATCACAAATCTCTTCTTTTGCTTCTGCCCAACATAAACAGCAAAATGGCCCTTTGGAACATCTCCAGCTGTAGAAGACTTCTTGATTATACGAGGCATACGGATAGCCATGATCTTTTATTTAAGATGGCAAATATTGCAATTGTTATTGGGTTATGAAAGCAAGGAAAGCTTTGAGTAGTTCTCTAGTTTGTAGTGGTGTGGAACTTCTCAAAACATGTTTATATAAGCAAATGGAAAGTCATAAAATCTGATGATTTTGTGGTGAAGAGCCATTTGGGTGGGCCAACAGTGAAAGACATGTCAATAACCACATGGCCTGCCTTCCAACTAATTGACATGATTGATTACTTTAGCTCATATAAGTTCAAGAACAATAGGTCCTGCATTTTTCTCATACATGGAACAAAGGATTTCTTAGAAATAAATATGATGTGGTGCCATATGATGATTTACAGGACCAAAACATACCCCAGATGCCCATTATGTGTCCATTTATATAAGAACTATAAGAGAAAACTAGGCAATCATATGCAAGATTTCACTGGCGGAGAGGCATTCGTTGCACTGTTGATTGACAATAGCAGATGAAGTATCACATGGTTTTGTTTTCCAACTCATTGTCAAATACATATACCCATTGCTGCCCTACTGTTTTTCATGAAAAGATCAGGATCTTTAGAAATCAACTTGATAGCGTTGAGTAATTGTCTTAATAAATTTCTCTTGACCTTGATCCAAAAAATCCCAATAATAGGTGGTGAAAGATGGTTTGGTTGATGCCTATGAAAGACAGTAGCATATGAAGGATCATATGACTTTGCCTTATATATATGTCCTTGTGCTGTACTGATGATTTCAGACCATTTTGGTGAATAGTAGATGGTCCTACTTTCATGACAATATATAGTGGGAAAAGGCTCCTCAATTAAGGTGAGGTGAAGGAATGAATGATTTAGTTATTGACCTCCTTGGACTAAAAGATGCCCCGATACTTTATGTCCAGCAGCTTGAGTAGGTCCTCAAGTCGAAAATGACTGTATAATGGCTCTCTGGTATAATTTGATCAACAACGAAAATCAGAATATGAAACATTATCTTATTCCTGACAGAAAATTCTTGAGTTTTTGTTAAATAGGGAGATAAAAAAGAAAAACAAGCTCAGATGTGCGTCTGCTGTAAGGTTTTTAGATCGAAAGCTTGTGAATCAGTGGAATGGAGGGTAAAAACATTGATATAATACATTAGCTACTCCAGATGAAGGATATTGACTTGAATAAAGAGACTCATCCTTCTATAAATCGAATTAACTACATATATTCACCTGTGACTTAAAAGCCAGAAATGCATTTCGTACACATTGTTAATCGCCTTTGTAAGTAGAAAAACACGGGACTTGAGCATATGGAATCATAAGTAAAAGAAATACCAATGCTAACTGGATGTGGAACCATAAAGGGGAAAAAGTTCAATACTTCATTATCTTTGAAGTAGAAAAAAGTAAAAGTCATTCATCTCTTTGGCATGAATAACAAAACAGGCTTTGTGGGGTTAAGTTCACTAAAATTCCTCATTCTAATTACAGTTTTCTCTAACTCTTCAACTATACAGATTGTGCAGATCCTGCTTTAGTGCTCTATAAAATTGTTAAAGCAAGTTTTCGTGTCAGTTCCTCAAACGAGAAGTAAGGTCGATGAAGATGTCCTCTCTGCAGGGAATTGTGAGACCGCCCATTGGATGATCAAAGCCAAATTCTTCCTCAGCTTGACTGAGCAAATCTTGAAATAAGGGTTGGCTCAAGAATGATATGGGGATCACAAACCTCTTCTTCTGCTCCTCCCCAACGTACACCGCGAAATAACCCTTGGGAACATCTCCAGATGTGGAGGACTTCTTGATTATACGAGGCATACGAATAGCCATGATTCTTTTAGCTTTAGTATATAGACAAGGGAAGAAAGAATGAACTACTAAAGACCTCAAAAATTGCAGATAAAGCTTTGAATACTTGTAAGTTTTGCTGAGAGCTGTGGTGGTAAAGACTTCCTTGAATGTGTTTATATAGGATATGGCAACTAAGAGAATCATGTTAATCAGTGGTGAAGAGTAATTCTGTGGGTACCAGCTGAAGACAATAGCACCTAAAGTAACATGGTTTTGCCTATCAACTCATTGCCAAAGTATTGATGACTCTAGGTCGCATTGGTTCAAGAAAATAGGCCCTACCTTTAACTTGGTGTTCTGGTATGCATTTGTTCTTTAAAAATATGGATTTATCCATCACCACATACCAATAGAACAAAGGGAAGTGGGATGTTCCTGCAGGTTCTTCCAAACATGGCCCTGAACTTAATCCAATAAATGTGGCTAATAATCTTAACTCTTGGATAAAATTTATGAGTGGAGGTCTCAAAAATGCTAGACAAATTAATGCTGACAGCTTTGCATGTGGCCACTGTTAACTTGTGTTGGAGCCTGCGAGGAGTGTAAGATTTTCCTACGTATATTGGTGGCCCAATAAGTTTAAGGCCCATAATTAATATTTAATTAATGAGCAAATTTCATCCATCCGATCGGTTACTTGATGGACGTACCGGATTAACTGAGAACCTCTATAAATTGGTCCTCTCCCCACCCGTTAGGGTTACCGTATTTTTCCATTCTTTCTTCCATCACTAAAGTCGGTAACGATTTTGTGTAAGATTATCATGTTCACGATCTTGGTATAAATTAGTGTTTATGCTTACAAGGAGCTCCTAAAGTAAAAGATGATTCTTTAAGTATATAGCTCTCTAGCTATGAGAATTGGATTAACTATAAACATCAGAACATGAACCAAAGGAACCATGTGTGATGTGTCCTGCATACAAAATACTAATATCTTATATCGGGACAGAAAATTCTGAAGTTTTGGTCAAACAAGAACAACGAAGACCAATATTCGAGCTTGTACACTAATCTGATGGGTTAAACATTGGCTACTCCAGATGAAGGATAGTTACTTGAGTAAAGGGACTCATTTTTGTAAATTTGGTGAACTACATTTTTCCAGCTTCTCTTTGGTAAATCCAGAATATTTGGCTACTTTCATAACATCTATTAAAAATATCACAATTCTCAGTGGACTGGATATACAAAAAATTCTAGTATGAGGTATACTTTGGAGGAAAAAGCCGTGGAAACAACCACTTACAGAAATGGAGGTTATGGCTGCATACAATAGACCCTTGTGGTCCGAGCCTTCAAGGCCCGGCGCATAGCGGGAGCTTTGTGCACCGGGCTGCCCCTTTACTTTGGAGGAAAAACTTATAAGCAAAAATATATTTTGTTGAAGTATTTAAAACACATATTGTTATGGGTTTGGATTCAATCACTTGCAACAAGCAACATTAGTTACTTCTAGATAGCCACTATCTTAGGGAACCATAGAGTAAATACAGTTGTGCTAATCCATGCTTTTAGAGATAAGTTGACCTAAGTAAATACAATATCTGTTTCTCATATTATAAGTCATTTAATCTGATGAATAATCAACTTTTCAGGTCAGAATTATTATAAACCAAGCCAGAGATTTGTTTTAAGAAGAGTGGAGAAGGAAAATGTCTGATGGAGTGTGATCTAATACTGTCACTTCATTGATATTGTGAAATTTCTATTGCAGATACAAAAGTTATCTTTGTTGTCATTGCCAAAAATATTTCAGTGTTCAGGATAAGTTCACAGTTAAGGTGTCTACTTCAGAAGTTCCAATTTTCATGTTATGGATAAATGGAGTCATGTAATTAAGAAATTTCTCCAACAAGAACACTGATAAACCAGTTGGCTGAAGAATGGATCTGAACATACTTCATTTGCTAAAGAATATGATGCTTGGCTTTTACAAAATTTCATTCAATTGGGCTCTACTGTTGCAACTAACAGTAGCCCCCTCTATCTAATTTCCAGTGATATCGTATAAATGGTGTCTTTTCCTAAATCTTCTAATGTACAAACTGGAAATCCAGGTTAGTTCTTTACAAAACTGTGAAAGAAAAAGACTCAGATCCTACAGAAGCGAGAAGTAAGATCAACGAACACATCCTCGCTACAGGGAATTGTGAGACCACCCATTGGATGATCGAAGCCAGATTCTTCCTCAGCTTGGCTAAGCAAGTCTTGAAATGCCGGTTGACTCAAGAATGATAATGGGATCACAAATCTCTTCTTTTGCTTCTCCCCAACATAAACAACAAAATGTCCCTTTGGAACATCTCCAGCTGTAGAAGACTTCTTGATTATACGAGGCATACGGATAGCCATGGTTGTTTAGTTCAATACAGATGAACAAATAAGGAAGGGAATAAGTAGTAAAGACCCTGAAAGCAGAGAAAAGCTTTGTATGGTTGCTAGTTTTGCTGAGAGCTGTTATGCTAAATCCTTCTTTGTATGTGTTTAAATAGGCCAATGACAAGTTGTAGAATCCTACTAATGTGCATTGAATAGGCATTTTGTGGGCACCAGCTTAAGACAATAGCACCTGAAGCATCACATGGCTTTGCCTTCCAACTCATTACCATACCATCTAGACTATGGAATTAGTCTAAACCAGAAGGTCCTACTGATATTCACAACAAATAATAGATGGAAACCTCATCTTCTTGAAAATGGTTTACTTAGGGACCACCTGGAGCCATTTCTTGATGTTTAATCAACAAATTGTGGTCTCTATTCCAATGACTAATCATGAAATCTGAATCTGTGAGGGGGCATATCCTGAGAATTTTAGAAAAAAAATCTGATCGTCCATAGTGCTAAAGCGATGGCTCAGGATACAAGTTGGTTCTTATGACCAAAAACTAAATCTTATGTTTCCAAGTGGTGCTTCAGTTGAGTACTTTATGAAATGGTCAAATTAGAATGATTTATGAATGGAAATAATAATAGAGAATTGGATAAAGTTAGAATAATTTTTCCAGTTTCATAAATCAATAAGAAGGTCATAGGACCTGCAATGTTTCTGGTCAAAGAAGAACAAAACCAACCAGTGTGTGCTACTTGTGTTGTGCTACTGCAGAGTATGTGTGGACCTCAGTGCTTAAGAAAATAGAAGCTTATCTCTAATTTGGTGAAGATACTAAGATAATGGACTGGTACTAATCCACAAGAATAACATGCTGGCTTAAATTTGTCAAGAAAATCAATTGGCATAGCGCTCCTTGAATTGATCAAATTTTATAAATCGAATGATGAGTTGACTTTGAACAGCACTTTTTTCAATTGAGAATCTAAATTCATATACCAAACTTTGGTTTCTAAGAATTTAGAGACAGCCAACACTATGGCCTGTATGGTTTAGTAACCTAAGACCAAATATGTACATACCTTCAGCTGTCCACTGCAATCATAAAGCAAAACACTGATCTCAGGTTATAAAAAGCTTTCAACAATCAACTAAAAGCCCCCTCAAATTTCTCTGATAATGCACCAATTTTGGTGTGAGTTGGAGATCCCCAATCCAGTTTGAACTGATTTAGTAACTTTCTCGTCATAACAACAGTTTGCAAAATTGCTAAGGTACTAATTTGGTAATAGTAGGACTAGCGCAGAACATTTGCGCGCCCTATTGACACTTCCACTCTGTTGGCATTTAAAACACATCACATACACGAAGGTCATCTATTCTTGTGCTAATCTTGCTCAGCTAAAATAACAACTGTGATCAGAAAAGAATGAAGTTGGAGTTACCAGCACAAAGTTTAAGTTTTAATGATGCCTTTTTTTCTTGAACTGAATTTTCCAAGATAAAGGATTTTACTCTTTAACTTAGACCAATTATGTACACCTATTTCTATATTCTGTAGCCTTAAAGGGGGTTAAACCCAATGAAATTCTTCTTTTCTGGGAGAATAACTGTTTCTAGCTCCTCAAAAGCGCCAAAAACAAATAAGGAAAATCTTTATTACTGTTTGACAACATTGATAATGAAAACAATATTTTCATACTCCCACTCAAGTTCTACTTAAACGCGAAGTCAACAATTCTAATGCATATCCAGATGTTTAATGCTGGGGAGGAATTCAGTGGGAGCTGTTGAGAGACAATTGCAAATGAAACATCATATGGATTTGCTTTCCAATTCATTAATTGTCAAAGTACTTAGACCAAATACTTGCTGAAGAAAAACAACAGGTCCTACTACTTCCTCATAATTGAAGAGCACAGGAACCCCCCTTAAGACTAGTCACCAGACAACTTGGATTGTATAAGTGATACGATAACTCCGGGGATCCATCTTGATTTAAGGCATTTAGTGATGTCTAAACATAATAAGTTCTGTTAAGAAGTTTTAATGATTTAACAAACCTGGTACCTATGAAGATATATCCTTAAACTTTGTGCATTCAAAGCTGATGCAAATGCTGATTTCTTCTGACTCTAAGGTATATATAAGCCCAATTTAGAAAGGTGTATAGGTGATTTTCACAACGCAAATCATATTTCATAACTAATGGAATTATAACACAGTCAATAAATGCTACTTGCGTAAAGATCTCATTGATGTTTGTGTCAAAACATAGACCAAATATGTAACATCTTGGGCCCTAAAAGATTCCGTAAAAGATTGATGTTGCCGTCCTTAATTTATGTAATTATTTGAATATGAAAAAAAATTCTTTTATATATATGTATCAAATTGCAACTCCCATGCCTGCCCTCACCTGCTTAATTTTTTCATATATCCATTGCAGTTATCTGCAAATTGCACGTCCTTACAAGTATTTGCCTGAAGATTACTATTTTTGGTGCAACTGTCACTGACGTTCAAATAATTGTTTGCCTATGCGGAAATAACTGCTCACATGCATGTGACTTGTCAATTGAAAGCCGTTATTTCCGCTTTCTGAAATGATGTATCAATTTGCATCATGTAGTTCCATATAGCCCCCAATTATATACTACGTAACAAGTTATGTTCTGTTGATTATGCCTGGCATCGTATGGAACAATCAAGGAACAACTAACCAACCAAACAACTATATATATTGATTTAATGAAGTACTAAACTGAACTACAAACAACTGAATATGCAAAGGAGCAAAAAATACTGAAAGATAGTAGAGAGGAGATGAGAGGAGAAAAGCAGCGGAATAGATGAGAAGCAGAAATACAATGCAACACTAGCCTAAAACTGTTATGCCCAGCAACAGTGACTTTTAACAGATTCCTTATGCTCCAAACGTCGCATAGCACGCGCACTCCCTCAGCCCATTCTGTTAGCCTGGACCCACCACAAAATCAATTAATCTTCTAGATGGCATCTTCACAGGAGTACTTTTTCTAGGCTGAGTAGGATTATTCTTATCCAACGTGTCATCCCTGATGTCCTCTATGTCACTATTATCATTCATAACAATACCTCCGCCCTGTGAAAGAACCTTGTCCTCAAGGTTCTGGGACGGCTCAATCCCAGGCTCAGCGAAATCCGACAGTCATAATGGGGTAATCTGTTGAGCTGGTTCTTCTGACGATATAAGCTTGACAAACACCCAATCCCCCATGGCAAACTCAAGCTCAATACGATGCTTGTCAGCCAACTTCTTCATACGAGTCTGTGCCTTGATCAGATTGAGCTTCAGTAATGCCAAAATTTCATCCCTGTCCACGAAATAATTTTCCACCAACTCACTAGGACTACTACCTCTAATGTAACGAGTTATATTAGGAGGTGCTCTCCCATAAAGAGCTTGAAAGGGAGACATACCAGCAGAAGTGGTAAGAAGTGTTGTACCAGTACTTTGCCCAAGGCAACATCGAAACCCACTTATGTGGCAAATCAACAACATAGCATCGAAGATATTGTTCCACCCATTTATTGAGGGCCTCAGACTGCCCATCGATTTGTGGATGGTAAGCAGTACTCATGGCCAAGAAGTTCCCTGCAATCGATTGATCTCCTGCCAAAAGGCATGCAAGAACCGAGGATCACGATCAGTAACTATGGTCCTTGGAGGCCCATGAAGACGAATAATTCCCACCACAAAGGCTTCAGCAACTGTTTGTGTGGAAAAAGTGGAAGGCAAAGGAATGAAGTGACCATACTTTGTTAATCGATCAACCACCGTCATTATAGTAGACTTTCCGTTTGAGCTCGGTAGGAAAGTGATAAAATCCATTGCAATATCTTCAAATACCAAATCAGGAATTGGCAATGGTTGTAATAACCCCACCGGATGGTGATGCACATCCTTCATCTGTTGGCATGCTTGACAGGACACAACAAAACTATGGACACCACGCCTCATTTGCTTCCAATAAAAATTGGAAGCCAGCCTATGATAAGTACGAGCTACTCCAGCGTGTCCTCCAATAGCAGTGTCATGAAATTCATGTAGCAAATGCTGACGAAGTGGCGAATCAAAGGGAATGACCAATCGTCCTTGAAAAATAAGAGTCCATCACGAAACACATAGCCCGAGCAGGTGTTAGGTTGTTTCTCTAATTGCTTTTGTATAGCAAGCAACTCAGGATGTGTTTGATCGAGAGACTTTAGCTCTTGCTCAAGCTCATAACTTCTGGAAGAAATGGCCAGCAAGACAACCTCAGAAGGGCGAGAGAGCGCATCAACAACTTGATTCAATTTCCATGGGCGGTAGATAATATGAAAGTCGTACCCTACTAACTTGCTAAGCCACTTTTGTTGTTCAGGCGTTTGTATGGTTTGATTGGTCAAGTTTTTAAGTGAATGCTGGTCAGTGTATATAGTGAACTTGCTCCCCAATAAGTATTGTCTCCATTTACTCACAGCTTGAGTAATGGCAAACATCTCCCTATGATAGGTGGATGCCCCCTACATTCTTGTGCTCAACTTCTGGCAAAAATAGGCTATTAGGTGCCCTCTCTGAGATAAGAAACCCCTATACCGCGACCAGATGAGTCAGTTTCCAGTTGAAACTCTTGGGAGAAATCCGGCAATGCAAGAACAAGAGTTGTGCTAAGCTTAGCCTTTAAAGTATCAAAGGAAGATTGGGCAGAAGAACCCCACACAAATGAATCCTTGCGCAGCAAATCAGTAAGAGGTCCTGCAATGGTTGCATAATGATGAATGAAGCTGCGATAATAACCCGCGAGCCCTAGAAATCTGCGCATTTTCTTAATATTTTTGGGCGGAGGCCATTGCTGGATAGTTGTAATTTTGCTTGAATCTACACTGAGGCCCTGTGACGATATCACATGTCCCAGATACTCTACTGAAGTTTGACCAAATAAGCATTTGGTCTTCTTGGCCACCAACTGATGTTTTCGTAGTACCCCTAACACTGATCGTAAATGGACAAGGTGATCTGACCAAGTGGGGCTATAGACTAAGAGATCATCGAAGAAAACCAACACGAAACGCCGAAGATAAGGCCTGAAGATCTCATTCATTGTCGCCTGAAATGTTGATGGAGCATTGGACAAACCAATCGGCATAACTAAGAATTCATAATGTCCATCGTGTGTTCTAAACGCTATTTTGGCTACATCTTCAGTTCGGACCCTGATCTGATGGTATCCGGACAGTAAGTCAAGCTTCGAAAAATAAACGACACCATGTAACTTGTCGAATAACTCATCAATGGTGGGAATAGAGAACCTGTCCCTTACAGTAATGGCATTTAGGGACCTATAATCCACGCAAAATCTCCATGTACCATCCTTCTTTCAGACTAATAACACCGGAGAGGAAAATGGACTCGTGCTAGGCCTGATAATCCCACCCTTGAGCATATCTGCAACTAACTGTTCCATGACCTGTTTTTGGAAGTAGGGATAGCGGTAAGGCTTAACATTAACTGGTTCAGCCCTAGGGTTTAAATAAATCGCATGTTCTTGGGACCGGGAAGGTGGTAATCCCTGTGGTTTCAAGAAAACATCGGAAAATTTTCTAGAATAGAAACCAGGTCTGGATTAGTGTGCTTATCGGCTGAGACCTCATTTTGCACAAATTGAAACGGCAATGCATTGTTCGGAATGTCCCCTTTCCAACTGATAGTTTTTCCTTGTAAAGTGAACTCAAATAAATGCTCAGCATAATCTTGTAACACCCTTCCCAGAGTAGAGAGCCACGCACCTCCAAGAACTATGTCAGCACCATGTATAGGGAGCACATATAGATTAAGTATTAGATTACACCCCTGAATCGTGAGAGGTACTTGCCTTACAACGCCTTCGCAACGGAGTCGTTGACCACTGCCTACCATAACAGAGAAGTTGGGAGTTGAATCCACCTTAAGCTCCAAAAACTTAACCACTCGCGCCTGAACAAAATTATGATCGCTCCCTCCGTCCAGCAAAACTTGGACTGGAGACCCGTTCACATGGCCAATAAATCGTAATGTGGAAGAGGAATTTCCACCAGCCAAAGCGTGATATGAAATAGCAGACTGCTCTTGGACCTCCAAAACTTGCAGTTCCTCAACCAAAAGATCGTCAGAGACAAAAGGCTCCGGCAAAGAAGGTTCAACATCAGACCCATCTGTAAGAAGAAGAAGCTAAGGTGGAGATTTACACTTGTAGCCTGCAGTGTATTTTTCCTCACAATAGTAGCATAAGCCGCGCTCACGTCGGCTCTGGATCTCAGCATGAGTAAGACGTTTGAGGGGTGGTCGATTCGGAGCTTGATTGTCGATGTGGTTGGAATGAAGGAGGATGAGATATTTTGATAGGGCTAGGCAAAAGCGGCGCCCCTTTGTTAGCAAAAGCGGGTCGAACTGGACCTTTTTCTGCCTGGATCCTGCGCTCATGGATATAGGCCCACTTAAGTGTGCCCTTTTATGTTTTGGGCTCGTGATTGAGAACCGAATTCTTTATGTCTTCCCTAAGCCCAGAAATAAAGAACCTTACCATCAGACCCTCTAAGACATCCTTTGTCTCGTTGGCAATAACTTCAAATCGTCCCTGTAATTCCGATACGGTGGTCACCTTCCCGATCTTTGCGAGAAAACCCTCAGCAGATTCGAGACCCTTCGGCTTGAAATGAATCCTCGCCTTCTCAACAAAATGGTCCCATCCAATTAATTGTTTGTTCCGAAACAACCATCGATACCACTCTAGTGCCTCTCCATCGAGATAAAAGGATGTTATCGTAAGTTTTTGTGAATCTTCAATCTTATAAAAATCAAAGTAACGCTCTGCTTGGAATACCCAAGCATCCGGGTTCTCGCCGCGAAACCGTCCAAATTCCACTGGAGCTGGTTTGTGCCGGAGAGTGGGTGCCGCCGGTGTGTTATCTTGTCATGCAATTGCCATTGTTGGATCATACACTTGTTTACCCACCACTTCCAGTAACATACCACGGATTTCAGCTAGTTCCTTGGAAAAGGAATCTGTCGCTTCCCTTACAGATTCATCTACTAGAGCCTTGAGTTCTTTTTGGTCCCCCATCAAAAAGAGCTCCGGATGAAAGCACCAATGGAACAATCAAGGAACAACTAACCAACCAAACAACTATATTGATTTAATGAAGTACTGAATTGAACTACAAACAACCGAATATGCAAAGGAGCAAAAAATTCTGAAAGATAGTAGAGAGGAGATAGGAGAAAAGCATAGGAATAGATGAGAAGCAGAAATACAATGCAACACTAGCCTAAAACTGTTATGCCCAGCAACAGTGACTTATAACAGATTCCTTATGCTCCAAACGTCGCATAGCACGCACTCCCTCAACCCGTTCTGTTAGCCTGGGCCCACCACAAAATCAATTAATCTTCTAGATGGCATTTTCACACGAGTACTCTTTCTAGGCTGAGTAGGATTATTCTTATCCAACGTGTCATCCCTGTTGTCCTCTATGTCACTATTATCATTCATAACATCGTATTATATTGCTTTCCGAACATTCAATTTGCATAAAAGAAGTATATTTCCTACCTTAGTATCCAAGCAAACGGAGTTTGAACAAGTATAAAAGTTAATTTTGCAATATATTCCAGTTAAGTGGAAGAAATATATGAATATAATTCCGGTGAATATAAAATTAACTTAAACTTCTCATTTTACCTTTAAAGAAATAGATTATAACCACTAACCTTTTGAGCCGAGGGTCTTCGGAAACAACCTATCTACTTTCATTAGGTAGGGGTAAGGTCTGCGTACACTTTATCCTCTCCAGACCCACTTGTGGGATTTTACTTGGCTTGTTTTAAAAGTGTTGTTGTTGATTATAACCACAGAAATATCTATGGCTTATTTTAGAACTCAAGTTTCAAAAGTCTTTATTTCTTCTTAAACTCTGTGCTCGGTAAATGGTATCAGAAGGCAGAGCTGTAAATCCGAAGAGCAACTCACAAGATGCACTGGCTGATAATGAACATCAGCATGGAAATGAATGGCGATGTCTTTTCCCTTGGTATTGTCTTACATTTTGTATAAGCTCGGGGAAAAGGAAGTCTGATTCAAAATGAGAAAACAGAAAGTCAATAATCTATTGGTCCGGATAATAGCAATTCTTTTAGACGGGGAGTTGATTTAATTGTACCCTTACACATGGTTTGGCAGTGTTAAGAATTTCAGAGCAGTGACAAGAGTGCATTAGCACATATTAGGGTTCCTCACAGGAATTTCGTCGAACAACACGGCGGCACTCCTGATAAAAAAGCAGAGCACACATACACGCTTAAAAGCAAACCAGAATATTCATGTAAACCGGCGTGAATCACTTGGCCCAAAGGTGACATTTCGAACACCATTTGAATGCACAGAAGAGAAGTGATGAAGAGCAAGAGCATGGAACTTACAACAACAACAATAACATAACTAGTATTATACCACCCCATAGGGTTCGAGGAGGATAGTAACCTTACCCCTAGCTGTGATGATAGAAACGCTGTTTCCGATAGATCCTTGGCTTGGGAAAGCAAGAGCATGGAACTTATTTTGGGGAAAATGGGTAAAAAATGGATTTTTGGGCGAAGGATCTTGAAGAAGGTCTTAGGGTTGCTGTTAGGAATTGTTTATATTCTTTTTTTAAGTATAAACATTCGGTACACGGCATAGAGCCCACTAGAGGGAAGCTCTTCCTATTAGGCGTCGAACGGCTAAATATGTAGAAATCTCAATTATCCTGCCACAACTTTTGGTATACGTATTAGTAAACCCCGTCACTCACACTCTCAAAAAACAATTAAATTCTTTTACAACCTCCTCTACTCGCACCTCTCAAATATTCAAAGAGCAAAATTTCTAACTTCTATCCCACATATCAATAATTCAAGTTATATCGTGGCCGTTTATATAAGCTAAACTGTTCATCCATTCAAGAAAAATTCCTTTCGGATAAATTTGTAGCAAGAGAAAACAATTAATGTTGTGTCTCTACTCTTTGAAGTAGTCTTTTTGAGTAAAAAAGCACCAAATTTTTTGGTGCTCAGCCTCACTTAACTTCTAATAACTAATCAGCTGTACAAAACAGATCTCAATTTTCGTATACAAAATTGTGAGACCTATAAAAAGAAAAATGATTCTCAATTATATTCTTATATCCTAAACTGAGAAGTGATGCCAATGAAGATGTCCTCTGAGCAGGGAATTGTGACACCACCCATTGGATGATCGAAGCCAAATTCTTCCTCAGCTTGACTAAGCAAATCTTGAAATGTCGGCTGACTCAAGAATGATATGGGAATCACAAATCTCTTCTTCTGCTTCTCCCCAACATAAACAGCAAAATATCCCTTGGGAACATCTCCAGCTGTAGAAGACTTCCTGATAATACGAGGCATACGGATAGCCATGATCTTTTATTTAAGATGGCAAAGTAGCGATTGCAATTGTTAATTGGGTTATGAAAGCAGGGAAAGATTTGAGTAGTTCTCTAGTTTTGTAGAAAGCTGTGGTGGTATGGAACTTCTCAAAACATGTTTATATAAGCAAATGGAAAGTCATAAAATCTGATGATTTTGTGGTGAAGAGCCATTTGGGTGGGCCACCAGTGAAAGACATGTCAATAACCACATGGCCTGCCTTCCAACTAATTGACATGATTGATTACTTTAGCTCATATAAGTTCAAGAACAATAGGTCCTACATTTTTCCTCATACAAAAGACATGGATGGTCAGTCAGAATCAAATCCCTTATGATGATTTGTGTCTGGTGCACTATCCATTAACTCTGTGTCCACTTATATAACAATTACTAAAAGAGAAAACAAGTCAAATCATATTTCAAATTTCAGTGGTGAAGAGGCATGTGTTCCACTGTCGATTGACAATAGCAGTCAGCAGATGAAGTATCACATGGTTTTGCTGCCCAACTTATTGTCAAGTATTTATGGTTTTTGGCCAATGGCCATTGTGTTGAAGAACAGCAGGCTCCATTGTTTTTCATGAAAAGATAGAGAACACAGGATCTTTAGAAATCAAATTGATAACAACAGGTAATTGTCAACACAGGACCACTAGGTCAGAGATGTCTTCCTGTTAACAGTGGTTGAACCAACTGATATACTAAGTCATAAATGGACTAATTGAGAGTTTAGATTCTACACAACTACAATTTCTGTCAATTTGCTTGGTCTCTCATGCTAAGTCATTATGTAGGATCAACTTTACTTAGAATTACTCGAGTTATCTCAGCAGATATTGAGAAACATTTCAGTAATCATAGAGAACAGAAGGCCATTTACATGCCCTGAGTCTTCATTTTCCAAATTTTCTATAAATTATGAGTCATAACCTTGTTATCCAGAAATTTGTTTTCAATATTCAAGAAAAGAACAGATATCATATCTTATTTACTACTCCTAAGTTAATTATCTTACATTCATTTTAATCAGCAGCGGAATCTTTTTAAGATCTTGGATCAAAATAAGAACAAAGAAACCCGATCAATGAGCTCAGATGTGCATCTGCGATAAGGTCATTGGACACAAAAGCAGTCGTAGCTTTTATCATGTCTTCAAAATAGCTTTTCTATTAGATTCAGCTGCAGTTAGGAAACCAAGTAACTTCAGCAAGAATTTTTCAATTGCAATGAATTATTCAATCGATATATTATATTGAATGGAACCATAGAAGTAAAAACTTTCATCGCTTCAATTTCTTTTGAAGTAGAAAAATGTCTTCTTAATCAAGAGACAAAGGTATTACATCTCCATTCAATATGGAGCTAAATTCACTAGTCTACTAGTCAGAGAATAGTAACTCTCCTCATTCTAACTTCAAATTACTGTTTCTTTTTAAGTCCTCAACTGTACACTCTGGAGATCCTACTTTACAGCTTTACAAAATTGAGTAGCAAAATCTGGTTGATTTCGTTCTCACTTTCTCTAACTCTTCAGCTATACAAACTGTGCAAATCCTGCTTTACTGCTCTACAAAATTGTGAAAACAAGTTTCTATCTCAGTTCCTCAAACGAGAAGTAAGGTCGATAAAGACGTCCACTCTGCAGGGAATTGTGAGACCACCCATTGGATGTTCGAAGCCAAATTCTTCCTCAGCTTGACTAAGCAAGTCTTGAAATAAAGGTTGACTCAAGAATGATATAGGGATCACAAATCTCTTCTTTTGCTTCTCCCCAACATAAACAGCAAAATGGCCCTTTGGAACATCTCCAGCTGTAGAAGACTTCTTGATTATACGAGGCATACGGATAGCCATGGTTGTTTAGGTCAATACAGATGAGCAAATAAGGAAGGGAATAAGTAGTAAAGACCCTGAAAGCAGAGAAAAGCTTTGTATGTGTTTAAATAGGCCAATGACAGGTTGTAGAATCCTACCGATGTGCATTGAATAGGCATTTTGTGGGCACCAGCTTAAGACAATAGCACCTGAAGTATCACATGGTTTTGCCTTCCACCTCATTGTCATACTATTATTTTACACTGAGGCTCGTCTAAAAGCAGAAGGTTCCACTGATTTTCACAACAACAGACAAAGGGAAACCTCATCTTCTTGAAAATGGTATACTTGGGGAGCACCTGGAGCCATTTCTTGATGTTTAATCAACAAGTTGTGTCACTATTCCAATGAATGATCATGAAATCCGAATCTATACGAGGGGCATATATCCTGAGAATTTTCGACAAAATCTGATCATCCATAGTGCTAAAGCGATGGCTCAGGATACAAGTTGGTTCTTATGACAAAAACTACACACTTATGGTTCCAAGTGGTGCTGCAGCTGAAGACTTCCACTATATATACCTATACAATGGTCAAATTAGGATCATTATTTTTTTGAACAATAGAGATTAGGATAAGTTGGAATATTTCTCCTGTTTCATTTATCGATAAAAAGGTGGTCATAGGCAATGTTTCTGGTCGAAGAAGAGCAAAACCAACCACTGTCTCCTTTGTGTTATGCCACTGCTAAGCATGTGTGGACCTCAACACTGATTATCTAGGAAACAACCAAGAAAAGAAATGTCTGAAGAATATAAAAAACTTATCTCTAATGTGGTGAGCAATTATGATAACGAATGAGTTGACTTGAACAACACTTTTTCAATACATGGTTCCATATACAGTATCTCAAACTAATTACGGTAAAGGGAACTCTGAACAATAGGTTTCCAAATTTAGAAAGGGGTCATTCTTTTTGGAACGGACCAAAAAGGAAATAGGTTCACATAAACTGGAACAGAGGGAGTAATTTTTAAATCTATTGAACATTGTATCTTGATATAAACTCTATGCTAGATCTCATGCAAGTTTCTCTGTAATTTCTTTTTATATAAAATCCTTTACCTCTCTCATAAAAATGATATATCATAATCTTTCTAATCCGAAAACATTATAATGAAGAATTTAGAGGTTAAAACTTAAAGCATATCTAGAGTACTTAGAACAAAGTATATATGGGGGATAGCACTGTTTCAGTACATATTAAAAAGTTCAGTTAATTAGCAGATATGATATCTAAAGTTAACTTGCAAAGAAGCAACGTAACATTACTTAAAGCCCAAGTTTTTTTATTTATAATAACACCCCCAATCCACTTAATTTTGTGACTTGGTCAAAATTACTCTTTTGTAGTTCCAGGCTTGGAGGATAGTTAGCCCAAATAGTCTCGAGTAACTGCAATCTACATGGCTGTACTAATCGATGCTTTCAGAAATAAGTTACTCCCGATATATAATAAGTACGATTTTTTGTTCCTCATATAATAGTTTGTTTTAAAATCACTATTTGACCAAATTTCAGATCATAATTATTCCTGCGTCTGTAGGTGATCAAGAGAAATTATAATAAACCAAGCCAGAGATCATTTGTTTTAAGAAAAGAGCAGAGAACGAAATTGTCTAATGGAGTGTGATCTATTATATGTCACTTCGTTGATATACTGAAATTTCTGTTGCAGATATAAATGTTTATTCGCGGGTAATTGCCAAAAATTATTTCAGTGATCAGGACAAAGTTACAGAGAAGGTGTCTTCTTTAGAAACTCTATTTACATTGTTATAGAGAAAAAGAAGTCATGTAAAGAAATTTGTTCAACATGAATACTGATAAATCAATTGGCTAAACACTGTCTCTAAACAGAAACATATCATTTGCTAAAGAATGTGCTGTTTGTCTCTTTGACATCAGCTACTAAAAATTACATTCAAAATTGGGATGTACTGTTGCAGCTGACAGTAGCCCTCTCTGTCTAATTTTCAGTGGTATGGTTCTAACTTCTAATAATGTGTTTTTCCTAATTCTTCAGGTTAGTTCTTTACAAAACTGTGAAAGAAAAAGACTCAGATCCTACTCAAGCGAGAAGTAAGATCAAAGAACACATCCTCGCTACAGGGAATTGTGAGACAGCCCATTGGATGATCAAAACCAAATTCTTCCTCAGCTTTACTAAGAAAATCGTGAAATAAAGGTTGACTCAAGAATGATATAGGGATTACAAATCTCTTCTTCTGCTTCTCCCCAACATAAACAGCAAAATGGCCTTTTGGAACATCTCCAGTTGTAGTAGACTTCTTGATTATACGAGGCATACGGGTAGCCATGGTCGTTTAGTTCAATGTAGTAGATGAGCAAATAATGAAGGAAAGAATTTGTAAGGACCTTGAAAGCAGAGGAAAGCTTTGAATGGTTTCAAGTTTTGCTGAGCGTTGTGGTGGTAGTCTGGTAGAGGCTTTTGTTTAACCAAAAATTAGATTTTAGGTCAAAGCTTGAATTTAGAAGAACTCGGGTTACTGATAATCGGAAAAGTATATAAGAAAGAGATTTTGAATGATATAATCAGAAAGCAAAAAGAACAAAGTTTATTCCCGTAATATTTTCTTCCCCCCTACAGATGTTGTGACTTTCTCTTTTTATAGTTAATTTTAAGAGAAAGTGTAATGCCTTTGTCTTAATGAGGCAATTACGAGCAATAAATGACATTAAAAGAAACGTTACTCAATCATTCATATTAAATACAAATTCTCTAACGTATTTGGCATTTAATGCTGAATTTGGACTCTTTTTCGCTATCAGATTCATGTCTTCAGTTCCTTCTGATCTTCGAGCTTTAAATGACTCGAACAGGTA